AAAAATGTTCCATATAAGCTAGGTGGTGGGGAAAAGGGACCTCAAACTTTGAATTTAAAAGATTATTATCGTATTGAAATTTACTATCCAGTCTTAGATATCATAATTAGAGAAATGCAACAACGTTTTCAAGAAAACCAGCTAGATATATTAAATGGATTAAAAGAAATAATTGTCAATGATAATCCACCACACGAAGCATTAAATATTGTTTGTAACACCTACAACTTTGATTTAAAACATCTGAATACTGAAATTGAAGTTTATAATAGAATGTTTAAGTTGAAATACTCTAACATAGAAACAACTAGTACTATGGCAAAGAAAATAAAATTTATTAAGAATGATGATTTTCAAAATGGATTTCCGATTTTAACATCAATTATTCGTATATTTCTTACTATACCCACTACAACTGCCAGCTGTGAAAGATCATTTTCATGTCTAAAAAGACTTAAAACTTATCTGAGGACCACAATGGGTCAAGAACGATTAAGTAATCTTGGTACATTACAAATTGAAAAAAAAAGGAATATCAATATAGAAGAAGTCATCGATGCATTTAACAATAATTCCTCTGTGAATAGCCGAAAATTAAGTTTAAAATAAAAATATTGTAAATTATAATATAAATAAATAGTAACACTTGTTGAATATACTTATTTATTTAATTTTAATGTTTTTTCTTTTTGCAACACCAAAAATATTAACTAAATTACGCCACTGAGTTAAAGTATGTATTTATGGATTCATGCAATACATTAACTGAAAGTACCCATAATTCTATAGAATAACTAGTTATTTTATAGAATTACGGAATTTCATACATTAACGCTAATATGTATATTATGCATTTCTGTCTCTCGTCATTAGTATTGATTTTGTGAGGTATTACTTATTAGAAAAAACAAGATAAGTTATTAGCAATTAATTAGATTATACATTTTAATAAATTAAATAATTTATATTAGTTATTATTACCATTTTGCAAGCTCGAACAATCTTCTTTAAGTCATATTCTGATGACAGACCTTGAACCGTAGTTAATGTTTTACGACCATTACGTTGTTGGATTCTTATGTGAACAAGCCCGTCTTGTACATCATCGTCTGCACCCTTGTTTGCATCAGCAAACGGGTCTTAAATATAAAATACAAACCATACGTTACTTTAAAATAAAACTATTAACCAATTATTACAAAATGAATCAAAATGACAAGACTGTAATTGCTTGGATCATATGATGAAAGTGTAAGCTACAACATTTTGAGTTAGACCAGATCGACAATAAAATAAAAAACTATACATTATACTTGTTATTCATTTTGGGTAGTGGGCACCTACAGTTAAATGTATAAAACACAACAGAATCGGTAACAAATTAAAAATAAGAAGAAAAATGTATCTGCCTAATTGCAAGTAATCTTGATTGTAAATTTAAAAGTTTACACTAAATAAATGGATAATTTCATAATCATTACTTAAACAATGGCATGGGAAACTTAATGTATAGTTTCAACTCCAGATAATAATGATCGAGATCAAAGTTTAGTACATTTTGGTGTCGTTTAGGAATAGTAAGTGCACGCAATGAAATCTAATAGCTTTGACAGCTGGGTCTACTCAGAAGATGTATAATGATTAAATCACAGATTTCATACCGATATCCGCATATACATTTCATCATTGTAGACAAGTTGCCGGGTTCCATGAAAAGCCATCAAATAGAACCCGAAGGAAGTTACAAAAAACGAATAACGTCAACCAACGTTCGACGCTCAAGACCCGCAACGAGGATGTAACGCAAGACCTAACATGGCACAATGTTCGAAGAAACGATGGCTGCCGACGATTAGGTTCGGTCACTTGCTATCGAAATTGCTTTCATTATTTTCGACGGCCATGCGACACGGTCGGGATTGAAATAGCAACAACATGTTAACGGGTGTGACCGAAACCGAGCCACCGAGGCGACGCCCTTATACGCGCTGGCGAGCTCTGAGACGCAAGTCCAGTGTGTCGGCCATAAGCGACGTACAATTACGTGTAGAAAACGGAAATGCGCAACAACGAGAAAAAGCACATTTTTGCGCACAAACCGAATTCGTTGAATTCGCCTCATTTTCGCCACGCAAAGGATGGCGCTTGCGATTGTGGCAACGCGACATTTGCACTTACCAAATACGTTGAGATTCTGGATTGACATGCGTATTGTTCGTATCTCTTGTTGTAAGTAAATTCGGCCTCCTGCGATCCGGACTCGGGCGCGCGTGGGCTGGACGACGAAAGCTGAACGCCTGGAACTGGAAAGAGATGCGACGGAATGGAGCTGGTGTGCTGCGGTATTACGACAAAATATACGTTTTGATATATTTCGTCGCTAACGGTAAATGAATAAATGGGAATCAAACAAAACGCTCGGATGATAAGGTACGACGACGGCGCAATAATATGATAACAATAGCGCGACTATGGACGTGACGGCGCTCTTAGATTATAAACCGAGTCACGAGGATGGACAAAGGGAATAAATGTTGTCCGCAATAATTTTGTTGGTTATGTTCTGTACTCGTCTACATCCATAGAGGTCGCCACACAGCGATGCGGCGGTAAAATTCCATTGTCTCGGCTATGGCGGTAAAATATTGAACCGCCGCCACCTCCGCTTCCACCGTGGTTTGCGTTCACCGAACGACACAAGTAGTTCCCCACGGTTACCCCGGTTGTGCCGTTTGGATCATGGGTACTAGTTGGACGGGGATCTAGGTGACCGTTCACCGTTTCATCGGCGCAAATCATAGATATCGGATAATTTCCATTATCGATGACTAAAGTGCCGTGTTATTTCCACTTTATTTGGTTTAAGACACATATTGTTAAAGTAATAGTTAAAAGCTCCATCCCATACATTTTTATTAAACAGAAGCATTTTCGCAATAAATCTGAATAAATAGCAAAAAGAAAAAAGGTAACATGAAAATCGTTGGAGGTAATTTGGAGTAACTTGAAATTGGCTTATTTTCACCTTATGCTATAATTATAGACTTAGCGTCGGAGCATATAAGACCGGAGGCCTTATTACAATATAATTATTATCATGTTTAAACATTTACCATTATTATAATGTTGTATAGGGCTTCGCCCGTTAATATATAATATACTCGTATAAATAATTAAATAAAACACCATCCTCCGAGTATTGGTCTATGATTTTTACATTCATTCAAAACAGAGTATGATATTATAAATCGTCAATGTTCTCCTGGATAAATTAATAACTATAATTTCTGATGAAACACTGCAACATAATACAATGTTAGTAACCTAAACAATATAACTTGATATTGAATTGAACTACAATTTCGTCTAATTTAGTTTTTGTTACACACGCTTAGCCTCCATGGTGGAGGTGTATAGAGTATACCTATACGTATTATAGTTTCTCTAAGAGTTTATTACATTTATTTATCATAATTTTGTTGTTCCTAAAATTCAGTAAGTACATTTAAAATAACGTATACTTACATTTTAAATCCTCAGCGGAGCGATGAATGAATTGATTTTAAAATGATGTGTGTTTTTTTTTTATTTTTGTGTCTGTCATTACGATTTGGGGGCAGTAACAATGCTTCAATTTTCTTCGACATCAACTTTTCGGGTAGGTTAGTAGCAGTAAGTCAATTTAATTGGTGCATTCGCCATGTCAAATTTTAAAATTCCCAATAGTTTTCAAAAGCGACAAGAAAAACCAACAAAAAATTAAGAAAAAATGGGACATTTTACAGTTTTTGAAAAATCGATTTTGGTTTTTAGTGTAACTCTAACAAAAATTTCTGTAGATACCTATATGAAATTTTCACTGAATATTTTTGTTAGCATTTTCTATGCATCACATAATTTTCAAAATATTTTGGCTCATGTTGAGCTATAAATAGGTATATGAAGTGTTCGATTATTATTAGTTTTTTTCTTAAAATTAATGTAGATAAAAAAATATTTGCCCAATCAAAAAATTTGAAAATGTAATACGAAGTTCCTCGAAAGTGGTTGTTAGTAGTTAGTTAAATAAACAATTGAGAATAAATCCACAACAATTTTTTATGAGCGTTTCAATTTCCAATTTTGACAAAATAAGTAAAAATCACGAACATTTTCAAATTATTTTAGTTCAGAATATCATAAAAATGTTTCTTTTTAAATATTTTAACATTTAAAAATGTAATACAAGATTGCTCATAAGCACCTTTATCAAATAAAAAAAATGTCTATTGGAAATTCAAACTAAATTTGTATCAGTGTCTGAAATTTAAATTTTTATAACATTGGAAATTCTCTTGAGAAATACATGAATATTCATAGTTTGATTTTCCTAATTTGTTGTAACTCAAAAACGAATAACTGTAGATAAGTGAAACTTACACTAAATGTTTATTTTATCATTTCCAATAGTTCATAAGCATGACATTTAAAATATATTTTGACTTATTTTGAGCTGTATACTGACATTACCAGTTTTCAATTTTTTTAGTTTTTTTTCTGTAAATGTCAAAAAAATGTATTTCATTAGGTTAGAAAGCTTTAAAATGTAATGCAAAGTTCCTGATATATTAATATTTTAGGTAACAAAATTTATGAAATTGAATATTTAAAAATTTATAAAATGTTCAACTTTCATAGGTAAGGATTAAAACTTTAAAACAATGTTGCACGCAAGTAAATAATTCTATAACTAAAATATTTAAAAAAATACATAAACTCATTTTGTTTTAGTTAAAATTTGGATGAATTTACGTATTGAAACTAAGAATAACAGTTTTAGTGGTTTTGTTGTAATTTAAAAATATTATTCGTTGGTACTTGAAACTTTAAGAGTAGGTTATAGTTATATAGTTTAGACACATAACGACATTCTCAAATGCAATTTTTTTGACAAAAATGATTTTAACCTACTTTAGTATACTATTGCATATTAAATAGTTAAATAAATTACTTTAATCACAATAATATCATAAAATATACCCAATTAGTAATATTTTAGGCTGACATGGTCTGTCTTTACTCTTCACTCGGAATCGTTTTTCGTACTCAATGATTTTATATTATTGAATCAAAATTTAACACATCCAGCATTACAACGACTCATTAGTCCTTTGATACCTACTATACACTAATACACTATACAGTAGAGCAGCGATTCCCAACCTCTTTAGCTGTAAGGACCACCAATTTTGAAAAATAATCTTTGAGGCCCACAAATAGCTCACCTATATACGAATGCATACATATATGTATGTATAAACAAACGTCAGTTCTTAGAACTAAAAATAATTTAAAAATCAATTGTTTATCATGAAATTAAACATATATTAAACTTAATCACAAATTAAACAATTTGATGTGATGTTTGACATTACTTGTCTTTCGTGAGAGAGTCAATATCGGGGTGAAAACTGGATGGTTTTAGGATTAAATCACTTTCTATGTTCAGTTTATTCCTATATTTAGCGTTAATTATACACTAATTTCAAATTTGACACTATAGAGTGTAGGTAATATTGATAAATATTATTATAACTAGAAATATTATTAGGTATATACTAAAAATATTATATATTTATATGGTTCACGGCCCAGTACCACGCTGCTCGAGGCCCACAAGTGGGCCGCGGCCCATGGGTTGGGAACCGCTGCAGTTGAGCGTTACCTACTTTTTTATATTTGTATACCATTCTTAATTACCTATACAAAATGCATAATTATCCAATAAGTTTTTAAAATATAAAAATAATTATTTATTAACAATGTTAATACTTATTAACTTACCGGCCGAAGGCGTTCGGGCAAAGATAAGTTTTAGCCAGCATTGATGAAATTTGGTCATTGCCGGGCGTTCAGAAATACTTATAATTATTTGTATAATTTATGAATTTGTTATTTACTTATTTAATTTTCTAACTTAATATGACAGGAAATGTATATTTTTTTAAATAACATATTTTTTTATTTCTTGCTGTCTCCTCAGACAGCAAGGCTTTCAAGCAGTATTTACAGATGAATATTGGGCCATTAGATATCACCGTATTATCATATCGCACCATTGATTCAGGACTGAATACAATTTGGTGCCCTCCACTATTTCCTTGTATTTCTATTAATAATAAAAAAAAAAATAATAATAAATATCTACCTTACAATAATGGCATGCATTTTTAGATTATTTTTTTAATGGTACTATTAAAGAGATAAAATGTTCGCTTTAATTGCAACATTAAAATGCCGTTAATGTATGCTCTAGTGCTCTAGGACTCCGATAAAAATTTCAAAAACGATTTTAAATTCTTGAAGACAATGACGTGTGATGCTGAGTATTCTACCTAATATTAGGGGCGGAGTGGCAAAGTGGGAGATAGGGAAATTTCCCAATGGGCCGGACGAATAATCGAATTATGGGGCCGACTAGGGCCGGACAGTTTGGTTGTATAAGTAACTTTATTGACATTTTTATGTATCATAATAATATTTTTTTGGTTTTCGGTCTTTTTAAATCTATAAAATAAACATAAATAATACGATAATAAATAATAATCATATCTATACTTATATTTTGTTGTTCTAAGAAACGATAGTTATATAAATAGAAATGATAGCCAATGAAACAGCTGGCTACCGTGTGGGCTTGTACCACTTCACACTTGTCGCTTAAATATAATAATTCGATGTGATATTAATAATATTATTGTTGTATTATTTAAAAATATACTGTTTTCGTTCATGAGTATATCGCCTGTGATATTGTAATATTAGTTCATTTGTATTTTGCATTGACTACATACATACTGGAAAGAAGTACGTTGAATGTTTACGATCCTAATCTCGCCTTTTTAAATGTAATTCAAATACAATTTTATGTGATATAATATTATAAAAAATAAGTTTTAAGTCCTATAAATTATAATCCGTATACAATTATCATTAAAATTAGTGAAATTGTTTATAATATCGATTATCAAGTTCAAGCCTGCAACCACTCAAAAAATTTAAAAATGAGTTAACCACATCATTTTTTCAGGTCTTTCGTTGTCAATTCAATGTAATTCAATGACGAAATAAAAATAAGTTAAATTATTTATCTCTTGAGAGCTCTTAATATCGTTTTAGAACAACATAACCTTGTTTATCAGATTCAATTCAAAAGTGAAACAAGTGAAAATAAATTGAAAATTAAAATTAAAATTAAAAATCAATAGAACTGATAATACAATTTATCTATAGCAACTTATAGTGTAATTATTACTATTTCAAATGCTATTTGAATATAAAAAATGCCTAGACAACAATCAAAAAAAGTAAAATTAATGATGTTGAGCTTAATCAAAGCTGATGGTTTGCTTATTGTTAAACACAGAAAGGTATATTTTAAATCTACAATGAACAGATCTAAAAATGAACTGAATCTCACAAATATATCAAGTTTAAGGAAATCTAAATGCTTACCTATCATAGAGAAAGATAAGGTACTTAATTATTTTTGT